AGGGTTCCATGGAACCCAGTGTCTCGCCTACTTTTGCTGTTAGTCGCAGGCTCAACAAAAATGGGGAAAAAAATATTAAAATTTTTTCTCTAGATACCAGTACTATCTTTTGATTGTAAGAAGCTTCTATCCAAGTTTGGTAAAAATCCAGGATGGTTTATGAATCTAATAAATGTTTTAAAAACTTTAACTGCAGACTGTATGTAATGTTAACTGGAAGAAAAACCAAGTCCATTTATAAGTAATACACAGAAAAACAGGAAATAATTTCTTTTTAAATTTCCTTCTAGATACTAGCTTTTGATCACAAACAAGCTTCTGTCCAAGTTTGGTACAAATCCAGGATAGTTTAAGAAATTTATTAAAATTTTAAAAACTTTAACCACAGAGTGAATGTAATGTTAACTGGCAGAAAAACTAAGTCCATTTATAAGTAAAATACGGATAAACAGGATTTTTTTTTTTACAAAATTTACTTCTGTATACTATCTTATGATCATAAACAAGCTTCTGTCCAAGTTTGGTGGAAATCCAGGATAGTTTAAGAAAGTTATTAAAATTTCAAAAACTTTAACAACAGAGTGAATATTTGTGGCCGCTGCCGATGACGACGGAATGTAGGATGGCTATGTCTCACTTTTGTGACAAAAGTAGCAGTCTCGACAAAAATGGTCACATTTCTAAATCTGTAAAAATAACAAGCTATATGGGTTATCTTCTTTGTAATACAGTTGTCTTTTTAATGCATTCATTTATATCCTTTATAGCACAGAGAACAATATTCATTGTTCCAATCAAGGGCCCTTGATGGGCAGCATGACATTTATACACACAAAACAATACTTTATGATTTGTAACAAAAACAAATTTTTAACATTGAAATGAAATATTAAATGTTCATCTTTTTCTTCATCTTATATAAATGAAGACGTTTAATTCCAGGCAGGACCAGAACCATAAAATTCGTAAGGGTTCCGCGGAACCCAGTGTCTCGCCTACTTTTTCTGTTAATCGCAGGCTCAACAAAAATGAGGAGGTAAATCAATAAAAATATTCCTCTTGATACTATCTTTTGATTGTAAGAAGCTTCTGTCCAAGTTTGGTAAAAATCCAGGATAGTTTATGAATCTAATAAATTTTTAAAAACTTTAACTGCAGACTGAATGTAATGTTAACTGAAAGAAAAACAACATTTCCTTCTAGATACTAGCATTTGATCATAAACAAGCTTCTGTCCAAGTTTGGTACAAATCCAAAATAGTATAAGAAAGTTATTAAAATTTTAAAAACTTTAACCACAGAGTGAATATGTTGTTTCTTGGCAGAAAATCTAAGTCCATTTAAAAGTAAAATACGGAAAAAATGGATTCATTTTTTCACAAAATTTCCTTCTAGATACTAGCTTTTGATCATAAACAAGCTTCTGTCCAAGTTTGGTACAAATCCAAAATAGTATAAGAAAGTTATTAAAATTTTAAAAACTTTAACCACAGAGTGATTGTGTTGTTTCCTGGCAGAAAAACTAAGTCCATTTATAAGTAAAATACGGAAAAAATGGAATTTTATTTTTACAAAATTTACTTCTGGATACTATCTTATGATCATAAACCAGCTTCTGTCAAAGTTTGGTACAAACCCAGGATAGTTTAAGAAAGTTATTAAAATTTTAAAAACTTTAACCACAGAGAGAATGTAATATTTCCTGGCAGAAAAACTAAGTCCATGTATAAGTAAAATACGGAAAAAATGGAATTTTATTTTTACAAAATTTACTTCTGGATACTATCTTATGATCATAAACAAGCTTCTGTCCAAGTTTGGTAGAAATCCAGGATAGTTTAAGAAAGTTATTAAAATTTCAAAAACTTTAACCACAGAGTGAATATTTGTGGACGCCGCCGCCGACGCCGACGGAATGTAGGATCGCTATGTCTCGCTTTTTCGACTAAAGTCGAAGGCTCGACAAAAATCATTACAATAATCATCCTTATAAGTATATTAATTTACGTTTTGTCTAGACATTTAATAACACAATTCCCTAAATATTTTAGGACAGATAAGTTTTCATTAGTAAATAACCAAACAAATTTTGCCTAATTCAAGAGATCTGAAAAGTTATGACAAATATTGTTTATCTCATTGAAAAATATCTCCCTATCATCATTGTATGCTGGACAACAAGTAATAAAATGTTGTTCATCTTCAACCAAATTAAGGGTACATTTCTTACAAAGCCTCTGATCTCTTTCTATATATAAAGTTTTATACCTGTCTCTTTCTATTTTGAGATCATGGGGACTGATTCTGATTTTACATATGGCACTTCTCAATTGAAAATTGTTTAAAGATAGATAAATTTCTTTAGAAAAACAAGTTTTTAGTTTGAATTAAGTATCTAATTTACTACTTTGTGTGTTCCAAAATGTTTTATAACTATTACAAAAGTTGAGCTTTACAACTAAATTTTGAATATTCAGCTTTTTAAAAATATAATGTATGGATGAATACCACCATTCAATATTATAAGTAAACATGTTTTGGTTGCAATTCAATTCAATTCAATATTTTATTTAAGTCTCATCTCTCAATAATATATAATACAACATTACATTTAGTGTAAAAATATATAGATATAAAGAGAGCCATTCTGTACAGAATTATAAGGACTATAACATTGCACATATAGGTATCATACAGTAAACCATGTTCCATATTTTTTTTAATTCTAAAACAATATTTCATCTTTGATAAAACAACTGAAAAATATAAAGGGAATCTACCAAGTTCTCCTAGCACATCTAAGCTAGAGGACTTTTATTTACACCTAAAATATACTTGGTATATCTAGAATTGGATTTAGTATAAGTGACTGATTAATACCTGCTCTCGTTGGATAAGTTTGGCTGATAGTTATATCACAGAGAACAATAAGAGACTGGTTAACAACTGTTCTCATTGGATAATATAACTTTCAAATTTATCTTCATTATCAAATGATAATTATGTGTAGATACCATTAATAAATTATCGTGATCATTATTTACATTACAAACCAAGTTTCCTTTATATCAATTTTACAATAATAAAACACCAAAGAACTTATGTTTTCATTTTAACATCTGATTTTCGTGTCAACATATGACTGTTACTACCTGTAAGAATACTGTATGTTAAATTTGTTAGGCAGGTTTGTATTTACTGACAACAATGAGAAAGCATGCCTTTTCTTCATTTGAGTTTAATTTCTGTTTATAAAGATCAAAAACACAGAAAACACAGCAAGGCAATCAATGCCAACAATTACTATGGGAAAAAAGCAGGAGTTGAGACCACAGGATAATTTTACTAAAACTAATAGGTTACACAGTACTACAGCTGTCTATAAAGAGCTATCCATGTTATAATTATGGGTGTGATAAACTTAAATTTGGCATAGTTATACCTAAAACTTTCTTTGGCAAGACATATAATTTTTTTCAGGACAATAGACAAAGTCAGATCTGGTACTGAGTGTCTGCCACAGTTCATGGATGATGTTTGCATAAACGTGATGTAAATAGATTCTGCCACAGTTTGTGGTTGATGTTTACATAAACTTGAAGCAAATTGATTCCTAAAGCTTTTAATACAGCTTATCAAACTGAATTTTCTGTTTCTCACACTTTTTTATTGTAAAATTAGTGAGTTTGGGTTATATTCTGTCTTATATTTAGAATGGCACATGACCAGATAGCTTACTATCCATAACAAATTGTCTATAGAGGGATTTATCACTCAGTATCTAATAAAACATACTCATTTGCTCCTAAACTTAAATCATTAAACAAACCTTACTACAATTTCACTTCTCAAACTTAGAACTTAACTGCACAGTGGAATGAAATCATTATAAAATTTGGCATACAACTTTGGCTTGTTGAACTATAATTGAAAATTGAAAGAAAAAATTACATTTACCTCTCTTAATTTTTGAAATATTACTAAATAATTTGTTCAAAATAGGTGAACATTTGTATAGAAAGCACATAAAATCTCCAATCAAATGATTTTTCTTTTTCTCGCAGATTTTGTGTGCATTCTTTACAAAATTTTTCAGTTATAGTTCAATGAGCCAAGTTTTACCAAATCTGTGAAATAGTCAATTTACTGAACCTTGACCTTAATTCTTTTTTAAAACTCATCATAGGACTTCTAAAGGAAGAAATCCAATACATTTTACATTCAAAACTACCTGCACATGTATGGTTCTGTGACTTTTGAGAAATGGATTGAATAAATAGTAGGTAGCATCCTTATAATGGAGTATCCCCTGAATTAGATATTTTTATCTCATGATAGAAGCCCTGAATGAACAAGCTAGATAAAAAAAAACTACACAACAGACAGACATGGGGTAATTGAAATATGTAATTGTAATTGACCGTAATTAATTACAATTTCTCAAGTAATTGAATGTAATGTGTAATTGAGCATTTTTTCAATTACATTTTCTTTTTAAAAGTAATTGAAGTAATGAATTACATTGGTGAAAAAAGTCAAATGTAATGTGTAATTTAATTGAAGATTTTGTAATTGTAATTGAATGTAATTAATTACTTTCAAAAGTAATTGACCCTATGTCTGACAACAGAGAGGAAGTAATATAAATTTGTCAACGTTCAATTCAGTGTTGGGGGAAAGAAGTGAACAGCTGATATACTGCTTTGAAAAATGATGAAAAATAATATTTTGGTCAAAGTTTTAGGAATCAGTACTTCAAGTTTAACTTTTTGTATGATTTTTCTCTTTTAATGGAATAGGTTTTCAATTTAAATAAATTGAGAATGTGTCGAAGGGACACAGATGATGCCCCAGCTTTTCTATAAGATCCTTACATAGCATGATTAGTTTAATTGATCTTTAGTAATGCACAGTTTTGCAACAACTCTGATTTCACCTGAACTGTCAAATGACCCTTACAAGTCACTCATTTCACCATTAAATACTTAAATAAACATTACCTTTGGAACAGCACATGGACTGTAATATGTACAACTTTCTAGAACATCTGACCACTTCACAGACTTGTGCTAAAAATAAATATTTAAATGTTTGCAAAATAAGAAATATGTGACATACAAAACAGTACAAAATAAACAACTGCTTCAAAAGCGCCTGATACACCTTTATTATGCATATTGAAATTGTTGAAAAAATAAAATTGGATATTTAGAATGCATTTATTCAGAAGTAAATAAAAAGACTCTGTAGAAAAATATGCATTACCCTTAGACGTAAAAATATTGTGTCAAATATGACTGACAAAGTACCATAACTCTTGAACGACATATCAGATTTTTTTTTTAAATCGAAATATGGTTTTGTTTCATTAATTCTAATATTTATGTAAAATTTCCAGTAAATCAAACCTAGCAAACTCAAGTTAAAGTATAACATGTGAAAAATCTACTTAAATCTGACAATTAAAGTCCCATAACTAGTGACGACAAACCGAAAATAAAAAAAAAATCAACAGGGAGCTTCTTTTTTTCAATCCCGTCAATAAAACAATAATGTTTAGTTTGCGAAAATCAACGCATAAAAACTCTGGAGGACAAACCAGAACATAACAAAAATTCAAAGGAAGCTTCATTTTATAAATCCAAACAATAACATAGTGTTTTGAGGAAATCAATACAAGCATATTAGAGTTATTAGTACCTGATATATGAAAAATTTGTAAGGGGTTCTACAGAACCCTGTCTCTGGCCTACGATTGCTGCTGTCAGTGTAAAAGTATAATGTTGACTTAAAAAGTGAGTCCATTTATCAGTAAAATACAGAATATTAAAAAAGATTCAAACTTTCTCTTTAGATGCTATTTCTTGGTCTTGAAGATTAGCTTCTGTCCAAGTTTCATAACAATCCATGAAGGTTAACAAACTTATCATGTGAAAAAAATTTCATCCCAGACTGTCAGTAAATGTTAACTGTAAAAAAAGTTCATCTATCAGAAAAATACTGAAAATGATAATATATTTTCGAAAGTGTGCTTCAGACATTATCTCTTAATCATAAAAAAGTTTCATAAAATTCTATGAAGGTTTGACAAAGTATTTGATGTGTAACAAACTTTAACCCCAGACTGTATCTATTTGTTAAATGTAAAAAAAATTTAGTCCATTTATAAGTAAAATACATAAAAATGAAAATAAATGTTATCAAAATTTTGCTCTGGATACTGTATTTTGGTCATAAACAAGCTACTGTCCAAATTTCATTTAATTCCATGTAGGTTTGACAAAGTTATTGATGTCCAAAAAAACTTTAACCACAGACTGAACCTTAATTTTGATGCCACCGCCGGAATCTAGGATCGCTATGTCTCCTTTTCGCGAAAATAACTTTTGCAGACTGAACAAAAATTACCTTAATTCAAAAGGTTAAAGTTCTGTAACTTTAGAACGACAATCCAAAAAATTTTTAAATTAAGTTATCAATCCAAACCATTATGTACAGTTTTGCAGAAATCCATACAGGCATACTGGAGTAAGTATGCAATATGTAAAAAATTGCCTTAATTCAAATCGTTAAGTTCTGGTCACTCTGGAATGACAAACCATAAAGTGAAAAAAAAAATTAAAAAGTGGCTTCCTTTTATCAATCCCAACAATAAAGTTTTGAGGAAAGCAATACAGGGCATACAAGAGTTAGTGCGAGGTATGTGAAAAATTGCCTTACTTCAATGGTTAAAGACCCCAACTCTAGAATGGCATGACCAGATTTTTTTTTAATAAGGAGCTTTCTTCTGTTAATCCCAATGTTGTGTTAAAATTACATGACAATTGGTTAATCATAAGAAATGTTGAGGGGACGGATAGACAGACATTGGTATACCTCTATACCTCGTCCCTAACAGGCATATAAAAACTAAATACAATTCATCTGAACTATTTACCTATAAGTATTTAAGTATCTTTACATTCTAACTAGAACAGTCTTCATAAATAATTTGTTATCAGATTGCATTTAAAACTTTTTCTAGTGCCGAAATGGGTATATTTTTTTTTTCCTGGATTAAATTAAATATATGATCAATGGGAGATAACTCTGATAAAACTTGTAGAAATGGAATGTTTGGGTTTATTATCAACAACAAAAATATCAGGACTGCATTCATTTGTTTGTTTTAGAAATGAAATGTGTAGGTTTACTTTCAATGAAACAGCAGTTCAACAAAATTCTAGATTGCATTTATTTGTTGTAGACATATTTTTTTTATTATATAGTTCCGAATCATTAATTTGAAAATAGATATCATTTTTTTTTTTTAAAGATCTTGCTTTATATGAATTGCTTGTAGCACTTTTCACAAGACATTTAGAATGAGTGAAGGTCAAAACAGACTAAAACACCAGCCTAATTTTATTTTACCTCAGATTATGAAGTTCATTTTGACAGTAACTAATTAGACATGGTTCACATTCTAACAGTATTTGCAACTTAGTTTAAAGATTTTCTTATAGACTGAATCTGTTCTAAAAAGTCAAAGATAAATAACCATTTTCAAAGTGTTTGTTTTAATTTGACATTTTTTTTTTTTTTTCAATAAATTAATCCGTAAAATTATCTTGTTTACATACTATATATACATATTTAAGTGTTTTTTCTTAATTCACTATATTTTCTTGTGATTTACCATTTCCCTATGAAGCTCCTTCTTCAAATTTTTCTGAACATGATCTGACACATTACTTGGGGAGGAATGTTGTGATAACAGATTTCTATGTCTAGTAACAGCAGGGCTGGACATAGGATATATATGATAATTTCCATAAATAGAATTCCTTCCTGGTCTCATCACTCTCTGTCCGAATGGTGAATCTGTTACCACTGAAGTATTTGTCTTGAATGGTGACTTGCTGTTTGGTTGTTTGCAATCTGAAAGGAAAATATATCATTTAGTGATATATAATCAAAGCACAAAGCTCTGTTAAGACAGTTGTCTCAACCAATGTATGACTGATTGATTGATTGGTGTTTATCGCCACTTTCAGTACTATTAAGCTATTTCATGACAGTCAGTTTTTATTGGTAGAGGATGCAGGACTGCCTGGAGAGAACCACTGACCTTCAGTAGGAAAACTGAAAATCCTAGTCAATTGGAGTCGAGTGCCTCTGCCACGTGCGGGATTCAAATTCACCTTAGTGTTGACAGGCTTGTGATACAGTAGTTTGACTACTTAGACCACAAGGCCACAGAGGCCCTACAAAATGTATGACATGAGTAGTTATAAAGTTTTCAGAAAGTCAAAAATTTATTACAAGAACTATAATATTTTCTGACAATAAATACTAATAACTTGTCATGCAAGATAAGGTATTATATACAATTATAGCCTTTGTATAAGATCAATATTAGGATATATATTGACCTGAAAAAAGCATATTGACTATATCCACTCAAATGTATTGAGGTTTTTAAATTTCTTCTTTTTGATTAAAAAAAATATTGAGCAATATCACTTTTCTATCTGCCATTTTCAGTCAACTATTGAAACTACAGCTGTACATGTGACTATTTCTGCATGAATCAAATTAGTTAGAATATACAAAACAATATGAGAACTCCTTTTTACATGGACAGTTTATTTTAAAAACAAGGTCAATGCCACAGTGTATCCAAATAATAAACGTAGTTGAACTATAACCTGTTGTTACTTAGGAACAGACCTAATTTTAACTAGAGTGCACACACTGAAATGTCTCACCTGCTTTACTGACCATTGATTTTATGTAGAGTCTTAAAAATAAAGGTTTTACTACAAGTATCACATAAACTTAACATTTTTAAACATTCAAGACAATAAGGTCAAGGTCAGATAATTATTCCATACACCAAATATAGAGTTTACCTATTGCTATTAGTATTTGAAAAACAGACCAAAACACAAAAACTTAACATTGACCAATAAACCATGAAAATGAGGGCACAGTCAGATGAAACCTGCCAGACTGACATGTACCCTTTCAATCATTCCATGCACCACATACAATAAAATGGACTTAATCACCAAACTTTAACCTTGATCACTGATCCATGAAATGAGGTCGAGGTCAGGTAAACCCTGTCTGTCAGACATGTACACATGGCAAGGAACCCATATACCAAATACAGATATCCTATCACTCATAAAAAGTGAGAAATTCACATGACAAAAAAACTATTCTTTTATAAGCAGTCGCTGAACCATGAAAATGAGGTCAAGGACAATGGACATATGACAGACAGAAACTTCGTTACATATGGTATCTGCATACAAGGTATGAAACATCCAGGTCTTCTAACTTCTGAAATATAAATCTTTATACAAATAGTTTACACCGCTGCTCGATAGTAATCCCTTTGTCTCCCATTCTGTGACTTTCGTTGCGGGCAAGACAAAACTTAACTTGACCACCAGAGCATGAAAACAAGGTTAAGAATATGTGGCATAAATCAAGACATTATCTTCTTAAAACAAATCAACTACAAAACAAGTGAAACTGTGAGCTACTGCCCACTGATGATACCCCCACCCAAATATTTCGGTAAACAGGAAGTTGTTGAGTGATGAATCTGAAAACGCATCACACTGTATAGCTGACTCATATAAACCCTGAAACCAAATTTCAGAAATCCTTGTAATGTAGTTCCTGAGATAAATGTGATGAAACTTTTCAACTACTTGGATGTCATGTGTAAAATGATGTAAGTGTTCAGTAAACAGGAAGTTGTTGAGTGATGAATCTGAAAACGAATCACACGGTATAGCTGACTCATATAAACCCTGTAACCAAATTTCAGAAATCCTTGTAATGTAGTTCCTGAGAAAAATGTGGCGAAAAATATTCATGGGACGGACGGACGGACGGACGGACTGACGGACGGACTGACGGATGGACAGACGGACAGACAGAGGTAAAACAGTATACCCCCACTTTTTTAAAGCAGGGGTATAATAAGGTTCAAAAGAGATCAAGACCATAAGACATGTCAGACATATATACACTTGTTTTAAGGAATCCAAATACCAAATACCTGTAATGCAAAAGTACTGAAAACAGACATAATTGTGAAAATATAACCTGACCCTAGAACATGAAATGGAAGTCAAAGCAATATGATATATATTAGACTGCTTACAATCAAAATAAATACAATAAACGTGAACATCAAAAGGTCTCAGCATAAACAAACTTCCATACACATTCTGGTTTACCAAGGCAAAAGAGAGAGATATGATATATAGGTATTTGCATTGTTAACAGTTTTTCTGCTTGCTTCAGTGACCCTTATCTGAATCCCCTACTGCTGATTAAGTGTCCTTTTATATTAACAGTGAACAAGTGTGTTAGAATTAAATACAAGGTTAAATTGCTAGACTAAACATATACATGGATTATCCAATTACAAAACTATCTTTATTTTTTTCACCTGATCTTTGCTTGTCTCTGACAGACTGAATCAGTGCCTCAGTATCCGTCTTGGAATACGTTGTCTTAGTGACGGCTGACATACAAGACTGTCTTGCTGGTATAGGATGTTGCAGTAAAGACGATCTAATCTGTAAAATGAATTTTATAACTATCTTTTTTCCTGTTTCCTATTTTTTTAAATACAGATTTCATTTTTTTCTAATAGAATAGTTGAAAATGTTGGATACAAATACATATTTCATAATCTAAGTACGGTCCTCTTCATCATCATAGGGTTTCCTCTGAACAGGCAATTTTTCTTCACCTTGATAGATCTATTCATAATTTATTGTGTGTATGTGGATTATTGTAAACAATTTTTTTAAACCTTCTAATACAGACATATTAAAGTCATATGAAACGAGTTTCTTGTAATTTTAGAGCTTATTTCCTAATGCTTGTAGAGTGAAACTTTGTTTGACTTGCATGCTTTGTTTGTATAAATGTTTGCTCAAGCATTGTAATTAAGATTGACATCTGCAAACAATATAAATAGGCAGAGTTAAACCTGTATACATTATACTTAAATTTGATTGGATGTTATCCTGGAGGTAAGGAATCTTAATATAATGTAATTATAAAATTTTAAGATATAATGAATAAAGAGAACTGCGCCATGAGTGCATGATACGCCCGTCTCTTTTCCAACAAATAAGTTCATTAACTCCTCAATGTCATATCAGAAATTTATATAAAAAAAACTAAAGGGAGGTTATTCATATAGATAGATATAAACCAGTCACCAAAGTTTCATGAAAACTGCTCAAAGCACTCTTGAGCTATTGTCTGAAAACTGGAAAATCACCCCTTTTTTATGAATAAAATCCCATAACTCGGAAACGTAAAATCTAAAATTTATAAAAATCGTAAGGGAGCTAATAAATGTCAATAGATATAAACAATTCACCATATTTTCATGAAAACTGCTCAAAGGATTTTTGAGTTATTGTCCGAAAACTGGAAAATCCCCCTTCTTTAATGAATAAAACCCCATAACTAGAAAACATAAAATCTAAAATTTATAATAATCAAAAGGGAGCTTATGTCAACAGATATAAACAATTCACCAAAGTTTCATGCTAATTGGCTAAAGTGTGTTTGAGTTATTGTCCAACATGTTGACGACCGACGGAGTGACAGGCAGGCAGACATATAGACAACGGTATACCATAATACGTCAGGTAAACAGCTGTATAAAAATGTATAGATTTCATAAGGAACATACAGGTAAACTTTGGTAACATTTAGCTATAAAAGTAGTTTCAGAAGAGAATGAGAAGATTTTTTTATAAAGTCTACAACAGACAATGATGAAGGATGCCAAGTAACAGACAATGATAAAGGATTCTAAGAAATGACATAAGCTCAATTGGCCTTTTAGGCTTGATAAGATAAAACATCATTCAATATCTTTGAAATAAATTAGAGAGATAATTAACAGATACATTAATTTTGTATTCACTTGTCAGTAGAAGTTTAAAATGTACAAGTAGTTTAAAAAATTTCACAAAACCTTCTCTTCTTTAAACCTCAAACCAAACTGTTAAGAGGCACAACATGAAATAAAACCTACCACTGATCCAGCAAATGTCTGTCTGTCATCTGTAGAGGATGCTACTGTGATTCCTTCATCATTCAGTATACTGATCAAGGCATCTGGATCTTCTTCAAAGTCTGTAAAATACATCAAAATTTTAAAATTAAAATCTAATCCCTTGAAATCTGTTAGTTTTATGTGTATGACTAAGGAACAAAATGTATTTCAAAATTTCTTCAGTTTGTAGTTCTTATTTTAAATATATTTTCTTCAATAAACCATTGATCTGCTTGTTCAAGTATTTTATATCCCTGAGATAAATTCAGTTAATTCATTATTTTCATGAAAAAAAATCAGTCAAGGACATGGACAAAGTCAGGAGCCTGTAATTCAGTCAGTGGTGTCGTTTGTTGCTGTGTATTATATTTGTTTTTCATTCATTATTTTGTTCATAAATTAGGCCGTTAGTTTTTTCGTTTGAATTGTTTTACATTTGTCATTTTATAGTCTTTTATAGCGTATTATGCGGTATGGGTTTGGCTCAGTGTTGAAGGCCGTAGGGTAATCTATAGTTGTTAATTTCTGTGTCATTTGGTCTCTTGTGGAGAGTTGTCTCATTGGCAATCATACCACATCATCTTATTTTTATATGGTGTGATAAGAGCCTTATATGGTCCAATCTGTAATTTCAATCTTAATTTAAGATCTCAATTCATGTCTGTTTTAAAGTTTAGGTAATGCAAAAACTAAAAACTAATTTTTTGTTTATCAAAACATCAAAATAAATGCATTTGTGATTTCACAAAAAGGCCTTTTTACATGATTTCGTGAGATTCGTACGAATTTGGTAATTTATTACACAAGTATTTGGATCTGCAAATATATAGCACATGCAAGTACCATTTAACTAAATAAACAACATCTGTCATGTAAATATTTTTGTACTACTTGAATGTGCTTAATATTTCCCATTAACAATTAATTTTGGTATATTAATTTATTAAGAATATAAACACACACACATGAAGAGAAATGTACTCATTCGCTATGCCAGTGTCTGTACTAATGTTTAAGTTTTCAATGAACATAATATTTGTAAAACTGGTAAATTATTAAGTCTTTTGTAAATGTTATGATGGTCATATTCTTGGAACAAACAATATTTTTCAACTGGAATAAAAAACAAAAGTAAATCAACAATATTTTTTAGGACAATCATTTGATTTATTAAGATATTTCATTACCAAAAATTACTTAAAACTTTTACTAAGTGTTTCATAGATTTAGATATAAAACCAATATTTCACTACAATGTTAAATTGAAATATTTAAGAATAAGTTTATTCAAAGAATGAATAAGTCAATATGGAACGTTTAATATTTTACAAGCTCTATAAACAACTTAACAGTACAAATAAGAATTCGATATCCCATTTGTAATAAGACAACTTCCGGTAAGGCAAACTCCAAAACCAAATCTTTGTATTGATGAAAAAATTTAGTTTAGAATCAAGTAATTTGTGGTATGACTGAATAATTTAACAGTTATACAAAGAGGTTTATCTTCAATGATTTTCATCACAGTAAGCTAAAACTAGAGGCTCTCAAGAGCCTGTGTCGCTCACCTGACTCTACTTTGGTTTTAGAAATCATGTAAAGATAGATAAAAATCATAACAGATACCCAAATAATGATTGAGACCAAATTTGGATTAATATTGGTCCCGTTATTTAATAAAATATCCTGGTGGCCATCTTGAACAGTAAATCGGCAACAAAGTAACAACACTTGGTCAGCACCTCATAAGGAACATTCATGCCTATATGTATTTCCCATAGGGTCCTATGTTAAACTAAGTCCTCCGCTGGCAGCCATCTTGGATGATGGACAGACTGCAAAGTAACAACACTTGGTCAGCATCTCATAAGGAACATTCATGCCATGTTTGGTTTCATTCCATTCAGTGGTTCTCTAAAAGAAGACATTTGTATGTATTTCCCATAGGGTCCTATGTTAAACTAAGTCCTCCGCTGGCAGCCATCTTGGATGATGGACAGACTGCAAAGTAACAACACTTGGTCAGCATCTCATAAGGAACATTCATGCCATGTTTGGTTCCATTCCATTTATTGGTTCTCAAAAAAGAAGACATTTTTATGTATTTCCCATAGGGTCCTATGTTAAACTAAGTCCCCCGCTGGCGGCCATCTTGGATGATGGATCGGCTACAAAGTAATAACACTTGGTCAGCACCTCATAAGGAACATTCATGCCATATTTGGTTTCATTCCATTCAGTGGTTCTCTAAAAGAAGACATTTGTATGTATTTCCCATAGGGTCCTATGTTAAACTAAGTTCCCCGCTGGTGGCCATCTTGGATGATGGATCGGCTACATAGTAACAACACATGGTCAGCACCTCATAAGGATTATTCATGCCATGTTTGGTTTCATTCCATTTGGTGGTTCTCTAAAAGAAGTCATTTGTATGCATTTCCCATAGGGTCCTATGTTAAACTAAGTCCCCCGCAGGCAGCCATCTTGGATGATGGATCGGCTACAAAGTAACAACACTTGGTCAGCACCTCATAAGGAACATTCATGCCATGTTTGGTTTCATTCCATTCAGTGATTCTCTAGAAGAAGTTCAAAATGTAAAAAGTTAACGACGACGACGGAGGACGCTGGACGCCAAGTGTTGAGAAAAGCTCACTTGGCCCTATGGGCCGGGTGAGCTAAAAAGTTAGGTAAAAAGCAATTATAAGTCTAAGTTTTTGAAACACCTATATGCTTTTTTTTTAGATTTACATCGTCCAACCACATTCTATTTCTATACATGAAGCATGCAAAGTTGATGCCTTTATGGAAATAAGCATCTACTTTGTTACTCTTTATGTGTGGACATCTACTATGTTACTCTGTATGTGTGGACATCTACTATGTTACTCTTTATGTGTGGACATCTACTATGTTACTCTTTATGTTTGGACATCTACTATGTTACTCTGTATGTGTGGACATCTACTATGTTACTCTGTATGTGTGGACATCTACTATGTTGCTCTGTATGTGTGGACATCTACTATGTTACTCTTTAAGTGGACATCTACTATGTTACTCTGTATGTTTGGACATCTACTATTTTACTCTGTATGTTTGGACATCTACTATGTTACTCTGTATGTGTGGACATCTACTATGTAACTCTGTATGTTTGGACATCTACTATGTTACTCTATATGTTTGGACATCTACTATGTTACTCTATATGTTTGGACATCTACTATGTTACTCTGTATGTTTGGACATCTACTATGTTACTCTGTATGTGTGGACATCTACTATGTTACTCTATATGTTTGGACATCTACTATGTTACTCTGTATGTGTGGACATCTACTATCTTACTCTGTATGTGTGGACATCTACTATGTTACTCTGTATGTGTGGACATCTACTATGTTACTCTTTATGTTTGGACATGAGCGTCTTCTATGTTACTCAATATGTTTGGACATATACTATGTTTCTCTGTATGTGTGGACATCTACTAAGTTACTCTTTAAGTGGACATCTACTATGTTACTCTGTATGTTTGGACATCTACTATGTTACTCTGTATGTTTGGACATCTACTATGTTACTCTGTATGTTTGGACATCTACTATGTTACTCTGTATGTGTGGACATCTACTATGTTACTCTGTATGTTTGGACATCTACTATGTTACTCTATATGTTTGGACATCTACTATGTTACTCTGTATGTTTGGACATCTACTATCTTACTCTGTATGTTTGGACATCTATTATGTAACTCTTTATGTTTGGACATCTATTATGTTACTCTTTATGTTTTGACATCTACTATGTTACTCTTAATGTTTGGACATCTACTATGTTACTCTTTATGTTTGGACATCTATTATGTTACTCTTTATGTTTGGACATCTATTATGTTACTCTTTATGTTTTGACATCTACTATGTTACTCTTTATGTTTGGACATCTACTATGTTACTCTTTATGTTTGGACATCTACTATGTTACTCTTTATGTTTGGACATCTACTATGTTACTCTTAATGTTTGGACATCTATTATGTTACTTTTAATGTTTGGACATCTACTATGTTACTCTTTATGTTTGGACATCTACTATGTTACTCTATGTTTGGACATCTACTATGTTACTCTTTATGTTTGGACATAAGTGTCTACTATGTTACTCTTTATGTTTGGACATAAGCGTTTACTATGTTACTCTTAATGTTTGGACATAAGCGTCTACTATGTTACTCTTTATGTTTGGACATAAGCGTCTACTATGTTACTCTTTATGTTTTTGACATAAGTGTCTACTATGTTACTCTTTATGTTTGGACATAAGGGTCTACTATGTTACTTTTTTTGTTTGGACATAAGCGTCTACTATGTTACTCTATATGTTTGGACATAAGTGTCTACTATGTTACTTTTTATGTTTGGACATAAGCGTCTACTATGTTACTCTTTATTTTTGAACATAAGCATCTACTATGTTACTCTTTTTTTGGACATAAGCGTCTACTATGTTACTCTATATGTTTGGACATAAGTGTCTACTATGTTACTTTTTATGTTTGGACATAAGTATCTACTTTGTTACTCTTTATGTTTGAACATAAGCGTCTACTATGTTACTTTTTATGTTTGGACATAAGCGTCTACTATGTTACTCTTTATGTTTGAACATAAGCATCTACTATGTTACTCTTTTTTTGGACATAAGCGTCTACTATGTTACTCTATATGTTTGGACATAAGAGTCTACTATGTTACTCTTTATGTTTGAACATAAGCATCTACTATGTTACTCTTTATGCAATGAATAAAAACTTCAACAAAATTGACTCCTCATCTCTATACTAAATATATAATCTCTGTATCAACCTGTGATGTTTTTCTTCTCTGCATCAAACTCTAATGCCTTCTTAGCACTAACTACTCTATCGTCATCACTCAGCTGATCTGGATCACATGGTAACTCCCCTAGGATACGTCTTTTCCCTAGATTGGTACAACTCTTCTTCTTTATCTTTCCAGTACTACAAAACAAGAGTTTATCATTCATATTTGTATTTCATTCAGGCTTATAACAGGAAAAACAAGTGAAACTATGAGCTACTGCTCATTGATGATACCCCCAGCCCAAATAATTGACGGTTAACAGGAAGTTGTTGAGTGTTGAATCTGAAAACGCATCACACGGTATAGCTGACTTATATAAACCCTGAAACCAAATTTCAGAAATCCTTGTATTGTAGTTCCTGAGAAAGATGCGACGAAAAATATTCATGGGACGGACGGACTGACGGATGGATGGACAGACAGAGGTAAAACAGTATACCCCCACTTTTTTAAAGTATGGGTATAATATTTCAGACATAGTTTGAAAAACATAAACCTTTCAACAAATAGTTGATGGAATTCCAAATTTAACTACCAATCAAAAAGAAAAATTAAGCCAGTTACCAAACAAGAAAGCCCCACTTGCACTATCAAATTGTCATGTCAGTGAATCATGAAAACATAATAAAAGAACAGAGTTCCAATGTCCCCTGCATTGCACATATTTTGTCTATCCACGGCACAAGGGCAATAACTAAAAAAAGTACACTTTTTTTTTGTTCTTTAAAACCTTTTATAAATATCTTAGAGAAATGAACGCTTCAGAGCAAATACAATGCAATTTTTGATATAATTAATATTACAAGGGGCATAACTCGTTAAAAATATTTGATCAGCACTTATTTTCAAAAGTGTCCAAGACATTGCGCTAACTATGCAATTTTCAATATATATCAATATTTCCAAGGGACATAACTCTTTTAAAAATAATTGATCAACACTGATTTTCGAACTCGTCTAACACATTGCTGATATAAACCTATGATATAAGTTACATAAAATTCTGGCAGGAATTGTACACATGAGAGCGCTAACAATGCAATTTTCCATTTAATTAATGTTTCCAAAGGGCATAACTCTTAAAAATAATAGATCGGCACTGATCTTCGAACTTGTCCAAGACATTGCTGATATTAACCTATGATATAAGTTTCATAAAACTCTGGCAAGAATTGTACAAATGAGAGCGCTAACGATGCAATTTTCCATACAATTAATGTTTCCAAGGGGCATAACTCTTTTAAAAATAATTGATTGGCAGTGATTTTCTAATTTGTCCACGACATTGCTGATATAAACCTATGATATAAATTTCATAAAAATCTGGCCAGAAGTGTACATGTGAGAGCACTATCAAGACGGGACGGACAGACACATAGAGGGACGGTAAACCACCTTAAAACAATACTTACTGAGCATGTACTGATTTCATAGTATCACATGTCCATGTTGTACACTGACTGGGGTAAAAAAGGGTAATCAGCCAAATAAATCTAAAAATTCACATCATAATGATTGATCAACATGTGCTCTAAGTTTCATAGTTAAAGAGCCTAACCAAAAAAAATTAACCTGATATTGGACCGACAGATGAATGCACTGACCAGAAACCATATCCCCTTCTAGCATAGGAAGGGCATAAAAATCGTTTCATTCCTATAAAACAGAAAGTTGTTAGGACACAACTAATAATTTTTAAGAACTGAATTTGAAGATAATCTGATGGTGCTTTCTACCAATTTTATATAAATTTACATCTATTTCAAAAATTTTCTTTACACTAATTGCAAAACTTTATTAAAATTTGTGACATCACTCATTTACTGTTTCTTGACCTGAAGTAAATGCTGGTTAATGTCTTTTACTTTTGATTTGTTTCGTTACCCCATGGACATCACTGAAGTAATTGCTGGTTAATGTCTTCTACTTTTGATTTGATATGTTACCTCATGGACATCACTGAATTTATTGCTGGTTAATGTCTTTTACTTATGATTTGTTTCTTTACCTCATGGACATCACATCCAAAGTAGTTCTGCCAGCAACCTTTCTCTCACTTAGACCTTTGTTGTGGAGAATGGTGTCTAAGGCTTTCTGGTCTGCTTCAAAGTCCAATTCAAAGTCATCAGCATCATTCAGGACAGTGACTTTATTCTGAACTGTGAACTTTGTTCCTGGTTTAGTGACATCAAATGGCTTTACCTTAAATAACAGAAATGAAGGAATTAATTAATGGCTGCTTGGTTTAAGGCAATTGGAAAATATCTCAAGAATATTTAAGACAAGAACCAATTAACAATAAATAGGTAGGTTCTTCAAAGTGGTCAACTGGGATGAAAGGCATACAACTTTTGACTGAAAGATTGCTAACTTATTATTGAGTAGTCAATCCTATTAAACCCTATATCTATCTAGTTTGATACAGTAGTTAATAAACAATAAAATGTCATAAAATATCAACTTAAGATTTGCCAAGGGTACAATCTGTTGTTTTAATCTTTAGTGAACTTTCAGTGACATTGGCTTAAATATGCCAAATACGGTAAGTGTAAGCCAAATTATTTTGTGGATACTTTTATCTGGCCCATTCTTGCCAACTTTGCAACGATTTATTTTCACCATTTCCTAACTATGTTAATGTATTCTTATAAGAGAAGATCCTATCCTTTTGTAAAATACACAACCATTTATATCCACGGTAAAATTTTACTTGCCCAAGTCACAAAAATTTGTTGATTTACAGTATTCCAGGAATTTTGTAAAACTTTCAAAAACTGAAGTTTTCATATCATTATTTGTTATTTGTTAAAGAAACAGATTTTAACATTCCATTTCATGGATAAAACATATTAAACATTTTTTTTTTTCATTTTAAAAATACAATGTTAGCCTTAAATTTTGAAACGATAGTCGCAGTTGAATGGACTGGACCAAAGCATTCGATTCATCCATGGTCAAGTGTGTAGTCATAAATTTGGAATGCATTAAATACGGTATGAGATTTGTGTAAACTATATGTTTGAACAGTGTGCCTTTTTTTATGACAATTTATGATTGTGTATTTAAGTTCCATATCATTTTAGTCCATCATAACAATTAAACACAAAAGTACAGATACAAAACATTCACAAATAAAATCAATACACAAATATTTACAAAGGTCAGTTACTATAAATAAAGGAATCACCCGCGGAATGAAGTAAGTCTTGCAAGACACTGAAGAGGGTCGTCTGCTTTGAATTCAATTATTTAAATTTGTCAGAAATGTCTTTAATAATCCTTTTAATTATTGTAATTAACGAATTTTACAGGGATAGAGAAATTACTTTGACTCATCCAAGTTTTTGACACGACTGAGTTTTTCAAATGAATAGTCATTGATAGGCCATTTTTATAAACTTTCTGGTTCTCAAACACTTTTGCTTCAGCCCAAAAACCTGTCGCTAGCTTGTATTTATCTCTAAACCAAAATAAATAAATGTGTAAAAAATTTGTGTTGATCAAATTTTACTGCTTTCAAACAAGTCTAAGAGCGATAACTCGAACACATTCAGAAAACTAAAGGTTTTTACCTCTGTTTGTAGGCAGTTTAGACTTCCAGTGAACTTAAAAATTTGCATAATGTCAAAATGTAAACAGAAGTGAACATGATTTGATTATCGTAAAACTTACAGATGACACAACTGTAAAAGATTGGTGCAATAGAAGGTTTATTCCCGATTGTCCCACTTTTCAAAATTTTAGAGTTCTGATTGTCCCACATGAAAAGTTCTGATTGTCCCACATTATTTTTATATTTTTAATGTTCTTGAATAAACAATGCAATTGTTGTTTGTTTTGCAATATCAAATTAAAATTAATTATTGCATGAGCAAACTAGTAGTTGATATCAATTTTATAAATGTAACTATGAATTGTTGAATAAATCATCAGTTAGAATGCACTTTTGATTAAGCAATATAACATATATGTAATAAACGATATCTATTATGTTAGGTAAATTTATAAATCAAATATCAATATATTTTTTTATTTTAAAGTTGTTATTTAAATTTTAAAAACATGGACGCAATTTTGATTTTCTTTTCATATATATATAATTTCTTCTATATCTATATAATTTGTGTTGTTCTGTAATTAGTTTTCTGAGAAATATTTTATTGAATAGTTATTTTTGTCCTTTTCATATTGCAAATGTGTTGCCTTTACTTCGATTGTGATTTTTTTTTATCACTCCTTGGTATCTTATGAATACATACAGAGTTAAAAACATACTGGTCAATATCAACATTATAATACAATAACTAAATATCCTGCCTCCCTAGTCCTTTTTTTATAAGTCATTGTATGAGAACATTTATATAAATGAGGTATGTATAGTTATCTGCAAGATTTCGGTAAATTTCAACTACGTAATTAATGTGGTATGACGACCTAGATAGTATAACAAATTAATGTGCATTGACGACTTATAGTATAACTATTTATCATATCAATATCTTACAATTGTTGTTGGTTTTTTCTTGCAACTCAATCCATTCTGTAGTTGTTCCTCCCATTTCTTGTGTAACTTGCTGAAGTCTGGTGCTGGTCTGGCCTTCATTTTCTTCCCTGATAGCTGTGGTCTGGGGATATGACTACAATTATAACACAAAATAAGTGATTTCTTTTTAGTGGTGTTGAACATCAGACCAAAGATTATTAAATCAAAGCATGTTATTATTCTTTAGTATGTGACATTTACCATATTTTGCATTTTTATTTATTTTTTTTTAAATCAAAATTAGCTTCTTTTGGCAATTTTTTTTTATTTTACAAAGAAAAAAAGCATAAAAATTTTATACTAATGGATCATGCATACAGAAATAAAGTAAGATGTGAAAATTTATTAAGTTTTCAGTTGTGTAAATTATATATAGTTTTTTAATGACTTAGTTGTTTCCCATCAGGAACCCCCTTGTCTATCATTTGTTAAAAAACTGTGCCTGTGTTTTCATTTAAAACTTAAATATTTGGTCATGTTTCAGGCTTAGAGATTTACATCTATAAAAATATTTTATGAATTTGGTTATGTCATAGGGTAAGATAAGTTACATCTACAAGTCACTGTATATCATGCCTTTTCCCACATTAATGACTTGTCAAATTTTGACATAACAATGCTTTGTCACAGTGTCACTAGTAGAGCAGGAATTTCTGACCTTTGAGGGCATCTGAGGTCATACATGGATTTTGTTGGGGATGTGTTGTTAGATCTCTAGTTTTCTGAGGTCTGTTGTTTGACATTTCATTTGTTTTTCTCTTGGTCATGGTGTTAATAGATTTAAGTTTGAATCCCTTGGTATCCTCAAACTTTTTTTTAAAGTTAGGATTACTCTCATGCAGACCGTATATTTCTAACCTTTGAGTATAGATTACCTCCCATGCAGACTGTATATTTCTGACCTTTAAGTATAGATTACCTCTCTAAAAGACTGTATATTTCTAACCTTCAAGTATAGATTACCTCCCATGCAGACTGTATATTTCTAACCTTTAAGTATAGATTACCTCCCATGCAGACTGTATATTTCTGACCTTTAAGTATAGATTACCTCTCATACAGACTGTATATTTCTAACCTTCAAGTATAGATTACCTCCCATGCAGACTGTATATTTCTGACCTTTAAGTATAGATTACCTCTCATACAGACTGTATATTTCTAACCTTTAAGTATAGATTACCTCCCATGCAGACTGTATATTTCTAACCTTTAAGTATAGATCACCTCCCATGCAGACTGTATATTTCTGACCTTTAAGTATAGATTACCTCTCATACAGACTGTATATTACTGACCTTCAAGTATATACTACCTCCCATGCACTGTATATTTCTAACCTTTAAGTATAGTTTACCTCTCATACAGACTGTATATTTCTGACCTTTAAGTATAGATTACCTCCCATGCAGACTGTATATTTCTAACCTTTAAGTATAGATCACCTCCCATACAGACTGTATATTTCTAACCTTTAAGTATAGATTACCTCTCATACAGACTGTATATTTCTGACCTTTAAGTATAGATTACCTCCCATGCAGACTGTATATTTCTAACCTTTAAGTATAGATTACCTCCCATGCAGACTGTATATTTCTAACCTTTAAGTATATATTACATCCCATGCAGACTGTATATTTCTAACCTTTAAGTATAGATTACCTCCCATGCAGACTGTATATTTCTAACCTTTAAGTATAGATTACCTCCCATGCAGACTGTATATTTCTGACCTTTAAGTATAGATTATCTACCATTCAGACTGTATATTACTAACCTTTAAGTATAGATTACCTCCCATGCAGACTGTATATTTCTAACCTCTAAGTATAGATAATGTCCCATGCAGACCATATATTACTGACCATTAAGTATAGATTACCTCCCATGCAGACTGTATATTACTGACCATTAAGTATAGATTACCTCCCATTCAGACCGTATATTTCTAACCTTTAAGTATAGATTACCTCCCATGCAGACTGTATATTTCCAACCTTTAAGTATAGATTACCTACCATTCAGACCGTATATTACTGACCTTTAAGTATAGATTATCTACCATGCAGACTGTATATTTCTAACCTTTAAGTATAGATTATGTCCCATGCAGACCGTATATTACTGACCATTAAGTACAGATTACCTCCCATGCAGACTGTATATTTCTGACCTTTAAGTATAGATTACCTACCATTCAGACCGTATATTACTAACCTTTAAGTATATATTACCTACCATGCAGACTGTATTTCTAACCTTTAAGTATAGATTACCTACCATTCAGACCGTATATTACTGACCATTAAGTATAGATTACCTACCATGCAGACTGTATATTACTGAGCATTAAGTATAGATTATCTACCATTCAGACTGTATATTTCTAACCTTTAAGTATAGATTATCTCCCATGCAGACTGTATATTACTGACCTTTTTGATGTAGATGACATGTTTTCCTTCCTATATGCAGCTTTCATTGTTTTCTATATTTATATGTCTTTTATGTTTATATTCCTTCCCTACAACAATATAATCATATAATGAATAAATACTATTTGCTTTAAAGATTAAAAAGGGTTATCTACAATTATGTATAAAACAGTATCAAAACATTAAAATCAATGTAGGAGAGGGTATCAGTGAATAAATATGTTGTTAGGTTGCTGTCTCATTGATGCATATAAAAACACACCTACTTATTTAATTAGTTGTGACCATCTAATGACTTTGAGATATGTTGTGCAATGCAGTTTAGAAGGAGATTTTTTTTTAAGAATCTCCAAAGTTTGAACTGTTAGTTTTCCTGATATAAAGTTAGCTAAAAGAGTCTAACCCATTTGACGATATCATTAGCAATGTTACCAAAACAATGCAGCAAATTTTGATGCTTTATTATCTGCCCTTGCTACTGTATCGTTTGGCCTTACTAATAGAAAAAAACAAAAAGTATTGTGTCCAGCTTGTTGCCTCATATTCCATTGTATTTTCTCTGCAATAACTTTAAAATTTTCATAATAGTTGAACAACTAAAATGTACATATTTATACTGCCAAATTCATTAAGCCACATATAGGCAATTAAGACGGATTGACGTAAGGTTAACATTAAAAGGGGTTGTTTTTCAAAAAAAAATTTAATATCTTCTTAATCTCCATTGTAAGGAAAAGGTAAACAATTGCACGTCTTAATATTTTCTTTCTTTCATTTTCTTTCTTTTTTTAATTTATAAATATGAACAACAGACTGCTTTGCTCAATTGCCTCAAATGAATGCAATATACAATAAACTGTTGACAAAGAGATATGTCTTTCCTATCGGCATAAAATTCAGAAAAAGACAATCTGATGCCAGTGATGGACAGCAACATTGCTTATTAATTCAGTTATTGGACCATGATCTAGTGGGCAGAGCCTGAAAATGGTCGACAAACTGAGATGTACAGACAGTAATGAAACTTTATGGAAAATATCGTTGTTTATTGTAAGTAGTTCCTATCAATATAACTTAAGCATAAAAACATTGAAAATTGCTAATTAATTCAAAGTCACTGGACATGTCCTACAGGGCAAAACCTCAAAATAGTCGTCAAACTGATATGTACTGATACTAATGCAACTTTATAGAAAATATCATTGATCTATCACAAGTAGATCCTATCAATTGACTTAAGCAGAAAAACTTAACATCGAAAATTGCTTATTAATTCAGTCACTGGACCATGTCCTAGGGGGCAGGACCTCAAAATAGTCTTCAAACTGATCTGTACTGATAGTAATGCAACTTCATACAAAATATCATTGATCTATCACAAGTAGATCCTATCAAACTAACTTAAGCAGAAACTTAACAATTGTTGACGCCGGAGCTGTTGCCGGAAAAGCAAACCCTGTTTTTCGCTTTCCACGACTTTTGTCGCGGGCGAAACAATAAGGCAGGGTTTCCACTGGCTGTAGCCATTCTCGCATTTTCGAAAAAATAAAAATTGTGCCGATTAAAATTTGTTTTTGGCGAAAGAAATATAACGGTTCGACTTCGTCCATTGTTTACATTTTTCGGGTTACTCAGAATTTTTCCCTAATCAGACAATACCGGGAATTCACCTTGAACTCGTTACGATTTTGATAGAAAATCAATAATCAGCTGATTGCATTTTATAGCTATCTGCAACAAAGGATTATAATTAATCAAGGTGTTGATTGTATTGTTTCATGAAATGGTGTGGTTGAATGGCTTCACGTCACTCAAATTTTTTTTTACAACTTTGATTGAAATAATTGTTTTGAAGTGGGTACTTTCCGTTTTAGCAATGCACGTTTTGAAACATATTTTAAGTCTCCTCTTTTTCTTTTAACGATGGTCTGGAAAAAAAACTGTTGTTATGACGAAAATGTTAAAAAGTAAGAGAAATCTCTTACTTTAAATTTTATCGTATAACTTTTGATAGAAATAACTGTTTTGAAGTGGGTAATTTACAATCGTTTTAGCTACGCACGTCTTTGAGGCATAGTTTTACGTCCAAACTTTTCTTTTAGTGATGGTCCGGTAAAGAAAACTATTGTTAAGAAGAAAAATATTCAAAAATAAGAAACATTTCTGACATTAGTCTTTATCCTTCAACTAGATGGGAAGTATCTTATATATTATAGATGAATCCTGTGTTCTCCGGCAGAAGTAAAAAATTATGATTTCATGATTTACAGTATCTTTTAACAAGAGTGCACACACTGAAATGTCTCGCCTTCTTTACTAATCATTGATATTATGTTGATAGTCCTAAATATAAAGCTTTATTACAACTGTCACATAAACTTAACATTAACCAAGTAAACTAAACATTGACCAATGAACCATGAAAATGAGGTCAAGGTCAGATGAACCATGCTAGGCAGGCATGTACAGCTAACAATTCTTCCATATAACAAATATAGTTGACCTATTGCTTATAGTTTAAGAAAAACAGACCAAAACACAAAAACTTAACACTGAGCAATGAACCTTGAAAATGAGGTCAAGGTAAAAAAAAACCTGTGTGACTGACAAATAGATCATAAAATATTTCCATACACCAAATATAGTTGAACTATTGCATATAGTATTAGAAAAAAAGACCAAAACTCAAAAACTTAACTTTGACCACTGAACCATGAAAATGAGGTCAAGGTCAGATGACACCTGCCAGCTAGACATGTACACCTTACAATCATTCCATACACCAAATATAGTAGACCTATTGCATACAGTATAAGAAAAACAGACCAAAACACAAAAACTTAACTATAACCACTGAACCATGAAAATGAGCTCAAGGTCAGATGACACCTGCCAGTTGGACATGTACACCTTACAGTCCTTCCATACACCGAATATACTAGACCTTTTGCTTATAGTATCTGAGATATGGACTTGACCACCAAAACTTAACCTTGTTCACTGATCCATGAAATGAGGTCAAGGTCAAATGAAAACTGTCTGACGGGCATGAGGACCTTGCAAGGTACGCACATACCAAATATAGTTATCCTATTACTTATAATAAGAGAGAATTTAACATTACAAAAAATCTTTAACTTTTTTTTCAAGTAGTCACTGAACCATGAAAATGAGGTCAAGGACATTGGACATGTGACTGACGGAAACTTCGTAACATGAGGCATCCATATACAAAGTATGAAGCATCCAGACCTTCCACCTTCTAAAATATAAAGCTTTTAAGAAGTTAGCTAACGCCGCCGCCGCCGGATCACTATCCCTATGTCGAGCTTTCTGCAACAAAAGTCGCAGGCTCGACAAAAACTAAATGTTTGTTATTATAGAGTTTATTCATTACAATGTAGATTAAAAAATAGATATTAAGAATTATAATAAACATAGTTTTTTCGTTTGTAGTGGTTTATCTTTTGTCATATCGGGGCCTAGCTTTTATAGCTGACTATGCAGTATGGGTTTTGCTCATTGTTGAAGGCTGTACAGTGACCTATAGTTGGGAACTTTACGTCATTTGCTCTCTTGTGAAGAGTTGTCTTATTGGTAATTATACAACATCTTCTTATTTTTATATAACAACATGACAGATTTTTTTTTTGTTAGAAAGAAGGAAAACTTTAAACGAAAAATATGTATATGTTAGTTGGCAAAAAAAAAATTGAAAGTGGCAAAAATTAATTGTTTTGGCGAAAGGGGCAGCGAAAAAGAAAATAGACCCAGGGGAAACCCTAAAAAGGTATACAGAAAATTATAAATCCTAAGTAGATAAGACTTGAATACAAATTTTCACACACTGACAAGCCCTAATGCAATGTGTCTCAATGCAGATTATCCCATATCTCTTTTCATTCAAAATGTATATTATTGCCTACTTTTGTGATTTAAATATATACACTGATATATGTAGGTATATTTCTAACTCAGCAGATTTTTCATGCTATAATGGAAAGATCTGTATTTTTATTTCTGTAGTTTCTGGTTACTGTTCCTCTTGTTGGTATAGTAGCTAATCATATATATGTCCTTAAATTCCCTGGAAATATAAATAAAAAGAGTGCCTTAAGCTTGAAAAAATTAAAAACAAGATTTGACATTACAATTACTTTCAATGAAGTCTGAGCTCTTGTCAAAAATACATATACTTCTTATGTTAAATGAATAATCATTTAAAATACAATCGACTCTCACTATCACAAATGAGTATATATATATATATATATATATATACAAGTCTAAATTGAAAACAACGTTCAAACCTATGATTGCATTGGATAAAAACCGCAATTTTTATACGTGTGCATGCAAAACAAATTTCTTGTTAGAGGGGTCTAAATACAGCACAAACAACATTTTCCAAAAGACCAAAAAGGTGAAAAAGTATATTTTAACAAAACGCATTTGACTAACAGGTCGAACAACAAATGTTCTTAAACCCTGCTGACTGCCATTGGCGATTGCCAAATAAACGGATCACCGATGTAATAAATGGATCTTAATTTTAAATTTAATACTAAACAGAAAACAATAAACTTGCGTAAAAGATGATATACCGCAAACAAAAGGTGCAAAGGTTTTTGTACACCATATCCGGATTTCGACAAATAATGTCTCTTCAGTGATGTTAGGAATCGAAACGGTATTTGGAAGGCCATATAATTTACCTCAATTTAGGATAGACTCTTGAATTTTGAAAGAGTCAAAATAGGATGAACGGATCATATAAACCTGAAGGCAAATATAATACAAGCCCAAACGAAAAAATATAAACAAGTCTAAATTGAAAACAACGTTCAAACCTATGATTGCGTTGGATAAAAACCGCAATTTTTATACGTGTGCATGCAAAACAAATTTCTTGTTAGAGGGGTCTAAATACAGCTCAAACAACATTTTCCAAAAGACCAAAAAAGTGAAAAAGTATATTTTAACAAAACGCATTTGACTAACAGGTCGAACAACAAATGTTCTTAAACCCTGCTGACTGCCATTGGCGATTGCCAAATAAACGGATCACCGATGTAATAAATGGATCTTA